GAAGGGTGAAACTGATGCGAATCGTCAGCGAACGCGGATAACAATCGACACAATGATCGCCCCCGTGAACGTTGCTGCTAACGGACAACTTCTCTAATTGAAGGCCATAGTGCTAAATTACGTGTTCATTGCCGCAGCATTTATGACCCGAACCAGGGACGGAATTAGGTAGATATACACACATACACACACACATGAACGAAAATCCCCCTGATCGTTAACCATTCCGAATTACCCGTCACGAATTTCCTGCCAACAACACTAAACACTATAATACGTGTAAATACTCATCATCAGTTAATATATCTAATATTATATACTAGCAAAGAAACAAGTTCGTTATTGTTGTCGAAAGCTCGTCCCTTTCGAAGCTTTTCTTTTCTGCAGATTTTCGCGAAACATTTTCCTCATCTTTCAAACAACGTTAATTAAAATGCAAACTAGAAACATTACGCGTTTAACATGTACATATATCTATCTATAAATATACATGTGTGCATAAAATAATAGATTAAACGAATAATTGTTGTGATGCAGTTCCGACGATATATCTATAGATAATAATTTGTTTATCGGAATAATAATTCGTGGTATAATTTGAGTAATACCTCTGTTTTATCGCGTAATTATTGTTGCTTATAATACCACTGTCATTAGGTGAGCAATAAAATTGATTTTCCCTGCGACACAAGCGATATTATCAGCTGCTGACATATGTTCAGATTATGAGGTAATTATACTGCCGTAATCGCAATTCTCAAGTGGGCCCTGTGATACGTACGTCTGTGCAAGTACATGAGTGATGTTAGCATCAATTTATGGGTTGCTACGTTCACTAGGTACCATATCACTATCAATATAGAGGCAGAGAATCGTTGTTTAGGGGAAGATCAGGTACATCTCAAATTTAAATCTATTCCCAGATCAAAATAGAACACCACATTTCGAACGGCCTACATAGGTAACCAAAATCCTTTCCAGACGCCCTTGATGAAGCTAAGAGAAAGAATCCAGGAAGTTCGCTGTACGAATGGCACTCCTGGGTTTCTTGATGTAAAGTTAGGCATGTGGTTGGTCTTACGATCACAACTAATAGGCGGTTAGATTTTCTTTAAATGAGAAAGATAGTGTCCATTGGTAGTAGACACCCTTCTCAGGGACTCTACGGAATGTCTGCACAAGCTGGACTCCCTTGGTGCACGGATTTCTTCATTTCCAAACGTGTCGCCATTCAGTGGCGCCTTGACAGAAGTTGAATCATGAGATTCTTCGCAAACACACGAAAATAATCTCAAGAGCAAAACGCTTAATTAGTACCTACTGAAGATCATACCAGTTCCGTTTACATATATCGAGGAAATCTAACTAGGAATGTGATAGGTATGGATGCCTATATAAGATTCCTCTAAAAAAACATGGTTGATTGTAAATGGCTATCGCTTTAGATTTTAAACAAGTGAGGCAATGGAACGATAGTAATTAGTGTCCGGGTTTGTTTGATTTGCCAAGTTAATAACGCTACTGCCAGATGGCGTCAAACAAATAACAGATACGTCACCGGCTTTTCCTCCCTTTGGAATCGAACGAGGTCGGTTGAGGCCGTTCTAGACCGGCTACAATTACCTATACTTGTATACAGAGTTATTGTGATATATGATGTAATAATGTTCGAGACATATGTGACTCTCTGTGCGATAACGAAATTAGTATTGATATCTAGTTGCCTGTTGTCAAGCTTTGTGCTAATGAAGAAAGGCATATGTCACTTACAAGTATTAATAGCTCATTAAAGCAAACATTAAATCGAGAGCGAATTGAACGTGAAATACGTGAATAGTACGGCAAATGCTTTAACCGTTATTCCACCTTTGATTAAGTTATATTCCATAGTTTAGGACATATGAGCTGACCATATGCCTTGGCTATGCGCCATGAGCATCGACAACTATAGAAGAATAGGTCCACCACTCCAAAATAACATTATTGTCAGTTTACTCAAGGAAACATGAATGAGTTTCCTCTGAAATTTAACGTATCCTCAAAAGTTGCTGATAAAAGCGAACACGGAGGGAAAACTTATGGGAATATCGTAGACTAGCCATAACCTGCCCAAATATGTATGGAGTCTGTTGGTGTACAGTATTGTTTAAGGAAACTATTCCCACCATAACCTAATTTAACTGTTTAGTACGTACTTCTCAACTCATCATCATAACATTTTTCAATTATTTTTATATCCGAATATAGATACGCAGTCACTCTTTTCCAATTGTTTTCTTCCACCTTTTGAGTAAGTGCATCATAGATACGTCAAAATTAGTAATTTTTAGTTAAAGAAACGATAGCATCTTGGATATCGAAAGTAGGAACTTTCTTTACCACTTTTAAATATGGGTCTGGACGATCCTCAAGATTAGTAGGTAAAATATGCGCATATGTGGCGATGAAGGATTTGGTAAAGGATTTGTTATTATATCCGGAGTAAAATTTATAAGGGGCATGCCTCATGTGGCTAATGAGGGACATGCCGATATAGGAATTTCCCCATAGATTCCTCATGAAAATCCCACAAAAAAAAAAGTGGTGATACTAAAATGAGGATTGCCTTATGGGTTTTCATATGGGACGTAAGGGGCAAACTTAATTCATGTACAAACTTACAATTAAATCTACCTTATGAGGACTTGATGAGGCTTGAATCTGTTTAAAAATACCCTCGGCAAAATCAAAAAACTTATAAAAAATGATAACAATCCCCTTGCCCAATTATGTCGTCGTTTCAATGAAATCTTTTACATTTGCAACGAACCAACAAGTGTACTTCCTGATATTGTTATTATAACACAACTGAAACACAGTAAAACGATTGCAATTTAAAGTATTATTGACTACAAAAGAGCCCAATAACACGATCTTCCTTAAGACCAAACAAATTTTACAAATAAGTGATATATGTATATATTCCTCCAGATTGAGATATAAATAGTATTGAAATTTGTGGAAAACTACTACGAAACACAAAATCCCTTTATACGTATCCATGCGATGCTAAATATTTAGAAATATACCTATAGTTTCTGCAACCAGTGAAAATATTACTACCTGTAAAATCATAGATGTTGATAAAAAAAAATGGTTTGTTTTAGTGTTAGTCACGAAAGTAGAGAAATAATATGTGTTATACCGTTGTTACATATGTAAAAGTGAACAGTTTCTCATTAGTAATATATATTTCTCATTCAATTTTGTACTTTTTTCATTAATAATAAAGTTTATGTTTCCAAAAATTTCTGACAATGCGCAAATACGACAAGGCATTATATGTCCTATCCTTGCCCTAGGGGACAACCTCATGGGGCCCACAAGGGATAGTGGGCTGCCCACTTAGAGACCCTACCTGTATCCCCCTCAAAATTCAAGTCGGGATCCATTTCATTTAGGTAATAAAAAATGAGAATCATATTACATTATTTTTCACGATAAGATTCGATCTGCTGTTATCAAAAACTTTGAATCTCTTTTCTGTATAATTGATATTGGAAAAACATTTATTTATCTGATTAATTTGGAAAGAATCGCCCAGAATAGCGCCCCAATTGGAAGAATAGTGTCCTCTGACTGCTATTTGTCTTTACCTTAACCTTAATATGTACAAAGAGAATCAAGATGTTAGTCTATTTAGCCGAAATCTACAGCTAATATTTGTCTTGCGGTGATACACAGGTCTCTCCGTCCAAATAGTAATTGGTTTCACGGGAAATTTGGGAAAATCGTGGAGACCTGCTGGGAAACGATATTTGTCGGTAGAAGGGACTGTCAGACTGACCGCATTCTACAAATTTTATGGGCTAGCGCATGTATACGTATCTATATCTATTCGTTTTGCCCATGTTCCAATATCCACAACAAGTCACCTTTCTTCTAAATTGACCATAATGTAAAAATGATAATACAGTTAACGCTGTATTAAGATATTTGATATTATCAAACGAAAATACCTAATCATTTAAAATTGGTCGCTTTAGACGTAGAGAACTAAAAGTGGGATAAAATACCTAAATAGATATTAGTAAAAACGTGACTGCACCAGACGTTAACATACTTGAATAAAGTTGAAAGAAGTTTAACGACTCACAGAGAATGAAATGTGAAACAAGTTTAGGTGAAGAAAAGTAGGGGAATTGGACTAACACGAATAAAAAGGGAGTAGAATATGAGGTGCCTAACTGTTTTAGCATCTTCGCTGTTTCTGTATTATACTTGCATAGGTAAAAAAGTAGACAAAAAATGCATTCTACTTGAATGTGTAGGCCAGGTACCTGTCAATTATAATAACCAGAGTTTTTTTGAGGGACCAGTTGATTTTAAATGATTAGACTGAATCATTGGAATCGTTGCCCCCGGGAGGATAAATGTGAATCAACACTAAAACTACGAAGGAAGTAGTAATTTAAAAATAAATAGATCAGTTAAATTGATATTTGAAAACATAAGCACTGCAGAAGAAGACGAGTTTCTTCCGTCGGAAAGAGATGAACAACTGCAATAATAAATTCCTATTTCAAATCAGATTTCATAAATGATTCGTTTATTTCATGGAGAGTAAGAAAATTTATAAAATCTAGAATCATTTTTATGCAATTTCGTAAGCCACTCAATAAATGCCAGACTTTATACACCTGCTGAATATTTAATAATTAAATAATTGAGATATTTAAATATTCTCATTTTTCAAGTGCATCAATCTAAATTTTTTTGGATTTCTGGAAATCTACAGACCTTCTGAGAAGCCTATGCATGAGATAGCAGTTCAACTTACTTGAATTTAGGCTAAGTCTTTCCCTCCAGGCGATCGGATTGGAAACAAGTCCTTGAAATCCTGGCCAGTAAATTCCTCCTGAGCTTNCATTTTTCAAGTGCATCAATCTAAATTTTTTTGGATTTCTGGAAATCTACAGACCTTCTGAGAAGCCTATGCATGAGATAGCAGTTCAACTTACTTGAATTTAGGCTAAGTCTTTCCCTCCAGGCGATCGGATTGGAAACAAGTCCTTGAAATCCTGGCCAGTAAATTCCTCCTGAGCTTCTTCCTAGGTCGACCGATTTATTTACAGAGCTGGCGGCATGATGGTGGAAAAAGGCAGCGGCGGCAATATTGAATCTTTGAAGACCGGAATTGGTCGCGGCATGTGAACTGTTTGAAGTCATGCTAAGTGGATTTTGAGAAAAGCTGAGACTATGCGGAAAATTGAGATTGCCTGTCGTGACTTGCGACGGCCTAGAAAGTATGTGGTCTATGCCATGTGGATTTGCACCTTGTGCCGCGCTATTGCTCGGTGTTGCGCCCAATGGGCTGCGGGACGTCAAGCCGGATCGTTCTACGTGAAGACTTGTACGCTCCAGCAAGACGTCAGCCGCAGATACGTCGTGGTGTTTCTCATGATGAAGCTGATGATCGTTGGTGACCATCTGAGCTTGTTGCTGTTGATGAGCCGCTTTCATTTCGGTCATCGAATGGAGTGCCGCCAATGGAGCTGCCAACATGTTACGGTGCTCTAAATTAAAAAAGCTTAGGTTTTGTTGACTTGCGAATTCGAGCATTTTTGAAACCGGTGGCGGAGGTGTTACGGACACCTCAGAACGATCGCTAGACGCGTCACTGTGCTGCGTCATGGCTGCCGGAGACGCCGTGGTGTCAGTTGAATCAAGACGCGAACTAACGCGTCTGTGTCGTCTTTGTTCTCTTTTTGTATTATCACAATAACAATAACAACAACAACACGTGTTCGAAAAGAGTACAGCCGCACAACATAATAATAATCATACACATTAGAAACAGGTAGCGATTGATAGCTGCGTGGATTCACCTCCTCTAGCACCCGCCACTGGCGAGGGTAGTTGATGAAATGAGCAGCGTGTGAGGTTTCCTCAACGTGAGGACAAACTGGGCGGATTCCTTTCACCTGGTGGGGGAGACGTCGTCTATGAACTCTAGTGCATGTTAAATATGTGCCACCGTGAAAGCTCATTAGATGACTCGTATAACGGTGGACATTGAGTGCCCATGTGCGTGTCGGAACTCTGCGTACTTGCTAGCTGCTCTATTTTTAAAAGAGATTAATGCTTTTTTCATTGGTTCGAAGGAGGAACAGAACTCACTGTCGACAATCGTGATTGGCGAGGCCCCTATTTTCCGGAAACGCCCGCCATTGGCTGCACGCCCGTACTTCCCCCTCTTTGAAACTATTATCACCGCGCGTAGATCAGCTCAATCTGAACGGAGGTATTTTGCCGACATAAACATGATAGAGGTGGAAACGAGTTTCCAGTTCTTCTAATCTACCTCCCTACCTGCTTTCCTCAACTCGGACCAAATAAAAATAATTCACCTCCTTTCTTATCCGTTCTTATTATATACTGCAATACCGACTGACGCCCAACACTATCCAACTTATTTATTGCCTCAATCGTTTTATGGCTATATTAAACCTCTATAACAACTGTTCAATTTGAGCAAAACACTTTTTATAGAAATCCATCGACATATGTTAATTCCTTACCATTCCTTAACTTATATATTTATCTTCACGTAGCCAAGTACTTCTAACAAGACTTTTCTTTACAACTCATATCCTTAAGAGTAATTTAATTATGTAATTCCATACTTACTCTAAGAACGTGTTGATTAATGATGCTTAATGAAATTTTCAATCAATTAAGGAAAATATGTCAGAATTTACACGTAGGCGTTTTAGTAGGTAGACTTATTAATGTGCGAATAATTCTATGCTAAGTATTTAGACTTTCAATAGATGTGTTATTAAAAAATATCGAAATATTCCAAACATATATCTGTAGGTAACAGGTACTTTGTAGTCTTTTTCTAAATTATATTTTTGTAATTGGTTATGCCAATATTATACCTAGTAGATAATAAATTTTATCAACACATGTTAAATGCTACCTGACCTTTTACGACATGCCCTATTCTGACTGATGTAGCCCCGATGTGGACGAGGTATGTTATGTCAATCCATTAACGACATGCCTTGCTTAGCCTGATCCGGACCTAATGGTAATATTCTATCTGGCCTTTTTTTTACAAATGTTTTAAGGTTTACATTTCTGATTCTGGTATAATTAAAATTATCTTACCCGGGCCCGTTTTTATGTTAGATGGATATGCCGGATCCGGATAAGGCCCAGATCCCAGCCTAACAAATTTCCAGTCGGGAATGTTAATTTAATAAAAAGGTTTAGTTCGATATTTACATACTTAACAAAATTCTAAGCTGGTAATGTTTGTATTTTCATTCGCTCTAGTTGAATAAAGAGATAAAATATCCGTAATCCGCGAATGCGTATAGATATATGTATAGGTATACGTGTGTTTGTATATATATATTTTCTTCCCACATTCGAGCATGTAATAAGTTCGCTTTTAACACAGTGGAGAAGGAACGTGACAGAGGCAATCTGCGGTTAGTAACAAGAACAACGGTACCGTGCCGTGCCGTGTGGAATATAATTCCCAGCAACTGAATCCCCGCTTTATTTGAACATTAAAATTTAAAAGACACTCCTCGCGCATCTAATTTAAATTTAGATTCGATATCTGAAATTGAAGAACACAATCTCTAGATGTCGCGAACAGTTTGGTTACCGACTATTGCCGGGAAGAGTAGGGGATAACGGGCTCCCAACTTAAGATAGAACTACTCTGCATGCCATTTATCTTAATTAAACTTGGATTTAGATATCGCACATGATGGTTGGTTTAACTACATACATACATACATATTATATATATATACCTTTGGATACATTATGGAGAAAGAGAAATGCCATTTCCTTTAACCAACATTGTAATACCATACCAAATCTACTGCCACTTTTATCCAAGCAAAATACTCGATCATCTGTATCTAAACCATTAAGTCAAATGATCTGATTTACCTACATCAAAACGTATGTACCTATATCCAAAGATTTCCTTCAAATTGGGCATTTTTTAAGAATATCACTACCTGGCTCTAGTATCTAGTGATACCCTGCCTGGCCTCTTATGCCTGATGCGGCCCTAATGTGGATACCTTAGTTGTGCGTCGGGATAATTTCTGACCTGAATATTTACCTATGAACCTGGGATATTTGCGGACCTTAGCCTAATTATCATATTTATTTCCAAGTACGATTCAGGTAGAACCATCTGTGGTGAAACATTTCCGAACCTTTATTTATTACTATCAAGAATCGTACATATATCATGTAGATAGTATATATAGGTACCAAAATATTAGAGATGTGCAAAATGTAAAAAAAAAAATAGATTTCCCTTTTGTATTTTAAATGCTAAATGCAAAATACGTATTTTCAAAATACTTTTTTTCAAATAAATACTAATTTGTAGTATCTACCTATTTATTTTAAGCATAAAATATTTTTTTCTAGACTAATAGTGGGGTTTGTATTATATCACCAGCTGCGAAGTTTAAGTATGATTCATATTTTTCTGTTTGAAGTGATTGAGATATAGTTTTTCCATCTTTATATTACAGTTTCCCATTTTCATATTCAGCAACAAATAATTCTTCTATATGCTCCTTATTTGCCTTCGTCACCGTTTTAATTTGAAAAAAGACACAGATGCCAAAATGGGTTGCTTAGCGTGAAAGATCAAAGCCAAAATAGGGTTGCAAATAATTTTATTGATGTAAAATTACCATCAATCATTTTACCTATATTAAAACATTTACAACCCCATTTTGTTTCCGACCTTTTACACATTGTAATAAGAAATAGAAATGGAATCCATACTTTCTTTAGCTTTGGGTTCATCTAAAAAGTGAAGTTTTTCTAAGAATTTTGAATTATATGCTTTTATTAGTACACCACAATATCTTGTACGTTTCAGTTTTACACAATTGGCGTATATCAATTCGATATTGTTTTGCGGGCTGTTTTGTCGTAATTCATGGAATTTCATAGCTAAAGGTACGATAAGTGGTGATTTGGCAGGTGCTGATATTAATTTACAACTTCAAAATTCTAAGGACCATGACATTGAACTCGGAAAACAATGTCGATCCAATATTTTAGATTATCCACTTCCATGAAGTTTAGAATTTAGACTGTCTTCAGTTAAAGAATTAGAAGGCATTCATGGAATGTCTCTTTGCCCCCTTTTTAAGCTTCTAATACCTTCAATAGCCAATGTAAGAAACTTTGATTCATGATTTTATATAAGTAATGTTTGATCGGTGATACTAACAAAACTTTTAACGGCAAAAATCTATTTTGCATTTTAAAAATAGAAAATAAATTTGGAAAAGAATATTAAATGAAATGCAAAATGCTTTCCTCAAAAAAGTATTTAAATGCAAAATAAAAATAGGTATTTTTTATTTTGTATTTGCATTTTAAATGTACCTAAGTATTTCAAATAAATCACATCTCTCCAAAATATTTATATCAGTTTCTCATTATGAAGAAATCGAACCAAAACAAAGAAGACAGTTCAGTTTTATGTAGTAAAAACTGTTTTGTTCGCACAATACAAATAGTTGATATGGATGCCTATTCCAACCCACAACAAAATGTCCTAATACTTATCCTGGTTGGATTCTAATGTCCTATCAGCACTGTACTGGGAGAAATCAAAGTTGTAAACTATTTAGATCTTCGATTAAATATGGGAAAAATAGAGAAAATTGAAGTCGGAGGTAGAATTTGTTTATTTCCTTACTATTAAGTACATAAATGAAACATTTCTATTTAATAATAGAAACGGGAATCAGGGTGGACATCTAACACCCGCTAAACATACTTGTTAGCCACAATCAAGGACAAGGGTAAGGACGCCTGGATAATATTACCTACCAAGCAAAACGAGCGGACAATTGTATAGATGTAGAATAACAAGACACTAAATTGAACAAAAGTAAAAAGAATCTCTCTCTCAGCTTGAGCATTTTATTTTGGGTTTTATGAAGCCTCAGTGTTTTCTCGCGACTGTAAGTTCGTTCGTAATATTTGCGTTCTTACCGAAATAAAATTGTTACCGAGAAGCTTTTAAGATTAAGGGTATATGTATGAAACTAGTTGAACCCATCCGAATTTGGACGGAGCGATGCGATTGTTGTTGTTGCATCACTTTGCATATGCCAATCAGAGAAGCATTTCACTTTAGTAAACTAATTTTACTTAATATGATTTCGTCGGCAGGCGTTTTGCCATAACTACCACCTTCTGTCTAATATCTATAACTCTACTACATACAATACGTCCAAAGAATGGTGATTTTTAATCATGAATTCTAACCGAATAATTGACAACATGATGATGATATCGAAAGTAGACCATTTAGCCAGTTTCATTATTTTATTAGTCAGCTAATTATATTAAAATATCCTATCATCGATTGTGTTAGCTGTATCAATTTCTTTTACCTAAAATCCAGATCTGTCGGTACGTAGAAGATTATCGTTATATATACTGTAGTATAGGTAATGCGAGAATGTACTCGTTTTTAATCAGCAAGATCCGTAGAGGGTATAAATAAATCAATAGAACGGCATAAGGCGTTAGAACGTAGCAGCCTTCTATCTTGTAAAATCTGGAACAATACTTATAAATCTCGACCGGTTCAGTTGAAGGTACACTAAGAAAAAGTTAATGCCTTAAAAACGTGCTTGCAACTTATCGCGTCGCCTATATTAATGCTATCCATTGGCAAACTTATAAAATGTGAACCCCGAGCACTTCACTGCAAAACTCCCGTTGTCGGAGCAAAAATCAAATTACATAAATGAAACACATTTTCGACTTCTAATTTATAGCCTACTACGATTCTTTCATTGGGGGAACAGGGCTGGAACACTTCACTTATTAACGATACAACAAACAGGATTGGTATAAGGTAAAATCTTTTAACCAAAACTAAGCGTACTTATTGAATGAGCAACAAGGTAGGTGGTAGACTCACCAAAATTTTAAATTTTATTTGAAGCATTTTTTTGTACACCTAATAGACAGATGTTCTCGTCCCTAGTCACAAAATTTCGCGATTTCCCCTTGGAAATAAGATTGGTAAAGGTATTAATTTACTTATATTTAAAAGATTTTGAATTGAAATTTCCTTGTCAGATGCTAATACGGCCATTGACACAATAAAATGGAAATTTTTATGTTAGGTACTCTTAAAATCCGGCCCTGACTCTTGCCGATCGCTAAGCAGCGTAGCTACTACCCTCTTATTGAAATGAATTTAAAAATTTATCGCCTTTTATGCCTGCTACACGAAGACTTGGAGCATTAACGGCAAAAATTAACGTTCGACCGCTTCGGAAATTAAAAACTGAAAAACAATCAAGCATATTTCAATTTTCTGAACTCAGATATTTCTTCGATACTGTTGCGTTTTTACGAATACAAACTTTAGTAACTAATGATACATTTTCAATACCATTTCATATTTACCCTTCCAAATTGATAAAGGTTTGGACTTTAAAATTAGACGGATCCGCAAGGGAGCTTTTGATCTGATAGGAAAAAAACCGTCCATAGGTATAGCGTCATTTTGCATATATTAACATTGGTTGGTTTTATGTTGAACCAAATAAAAACCCATACAGGTCAGTACCTCTTCAAAGAGCCGTTTTATTTTTTCTCATTAAAGTGCGAGCAAATATTCTCATTCATTTATATTTATGCATACAAAAATTTTATTCGGTACGTCGGTGCCTGCTCAAGGAGCGAGTCAATTTTTTCTCAATAAAGTGCGAGCAAATACTCATTCATTTATGCATGTAATGATTTGACTCGGTACGTCGGTACCTGCTCAAGGAGCCAATCTATTTTTTCTCAGCAAAGTGCGAGCAAATACTCTCATTTATTTATGCATACAAAAATTTGACTCGGTACGTTGGTACCTGCTCAAGGAGCGAGTCTCAATAAAGTGCAAGTAGATATTTTCATTCGTTTATGCATGCACAGATCTGATTCGATACGTCCGTACCTGCTCAAAGAGCGAGTCTGTTTTTCTCAATAAAATGCGAGTAAATACTCTCATTCATTTATGCATACAAAAATTTGACTCGGTGCGTCGGTACCTGCTCAAGATGCGAGTCCATTTTTCTCAGGGAAGTGCGAGTATAGATATTCTCATTCATCTATGCATACAGAAATTTGACTCGGTACGTTGATACCTGCTCAAGGAGCGAGTCCATTTGTCTCAATAAAGTGCAAGTAGATATTCTCATTCGTTTATGCATGCACAGATCTGATTCGGTACGTACGTACCTGCTCAAAGAGTGAGTCTATTTTTCTCAATAAAGTGCGAGCAAATACTCTTATTCATTTATGCATGCAAAGATCTGACTCGGTACGTCAGTACCTCCTTAAAAAGTGACTCTATTTTTTCTCAACAAAGTGCTCGCAAATATTCTCATTCATTTATGAATACAATAATTTGACTTGGTACGTCGGTGCCTGCTCAAGGAGCGAGTCAATTTTTTCTCAATAAAGTGCGAGCAAATACTCACTCATTTATACATGTAGAGATTTGACTCGGTACGTCGGTACCTGCTCAAGGAGCCAATCTATTTTTTCTCAGTAAGTGCGAGTAAATACTCTCATTCATTTATGCATACAAAAATTTGACTCGGTGCGTCGGTACCTACTCAAGGAGCAAGTCCATTTCTTCTCAGCAAAGTGCGAGTATAGATATTCTCATTCATTTATGCATACAGAAATTTGACTCGGTACGTTGATACCTGCTCAAGGAGCGAGTCCATTTGCCTCAATAAAGTGCAAGTAGATATTCTCATTCGTTTATGCATGCACAGATCTGATTCGGTACGTCCGTACCTGCTCAAAGAGTGAGTCTATTTTTCTCAATAAAGTGCGAGCAAATACTCTTATTCATTTATGCATGCAAAGATCTGACTCGGTACGTCAGTACCTCCTTAAAAAGTGACTCTATTTTTTCTCAACAAAGTGCTCGCAAATATTCTCATTCATTTATGAATACAATAATTTGACTTGGTACGTCGGTGCCTGCTCAAGGAGCGAGTCAATTTTTTCTCAATAAAGTGCGAGCAAATACTCACTCATTTATACATGTAGAGATTTGACTCGGTACGTCGGTACCTGCTCAAGGAGCCAATCTATTTTTTCTCAGTAAGTGCGAGTAAATACTCTCATTCATTTATGCATACAAAAATTTGACTCGGTGCGTCGGTACCTACTCAAGGAGCAAGTCCATTTCTTCTCAGCAAAGTGCGAGTATAGATATTCTCATTCATTTATGCATACAGAAATTTGACTCGGTACGTTGATACCTGCTCAAGGAGCGAGTCCATTTGCCTCAATAAAGTGCAAGTAGATATTCTCATTCGTTTATGCATGCACAGATCTGATTCGGTACGTCCGTACCTGCTCAAAGAGTGAGTCTATTTTTCTCAATAAAGTGCGAGCAACTACTATTATTCATTTATGCATGCAAAGATCTGACTCGGTACGTCGGTACCTCCTCAAAAAGTGATTCTATTTTTTCTCAACAAAGTGCCCGCAAATACTCTCTTTTATTTTTGTATACAAAAATTTGACTTTATGCGTCGGTACCTGCTCAAGGAGCGTGTCTATTTTTCTCAGTAAAGTGAAAGTAGATGTTCTCATTCATGTATGCATGCTCAGATATGACTCGGTACGTCAATACCTCCTGAAGGAGCGAGTCTATTTTATCTCAGTAAAGTGCTAGCAAATACTCTCATTCATTTATGCACACATTTGACTTGTTTTTAATTTTTGTTACTGCGAATAAAAAATTTCCCCTTTTACTCGTTCTAACTTTTGAGAAACTAGAACGAATTGATGTAATTATGCACCATCTGTGATTTATTGTTTGAATCATAGGTTCTTAGTTCGTTCTTTTTTTTTGTAACAAATATTTCAAGTCGTTTATTAGCGGAGGCAAACTGGCATAATGTCAGCCTAGTTTGAGTGCAAATACAATCGTATGAGAGGGTCCAGCCGAGATCTCAGTTTGCAAGTTAATTAAACATTTCATTATACGAAAGATACCCGGCCGTGCTAGCAGACGTGGGGACAAATCGAATTACTTACTCCCATTTTAACATGTAATATCCCGAAGGCTTTTAGCACTGGGCTGGGGTAACGATTCCATCGTTGGCAAGGGATAAAGTCCAGAACCGTACTTCTCTCTCTTGTTACTCTACTATCTCCCATTTCTTTGCTTGTTATTTTTCACCATTTTGTGGTAATTTCGAAATTGAGTCCAACCCTGAATCAGTCCGACTCTGATTTTAATTTTACTCAAATCTTTCTTTATTACCTACAATCACCGGTAGAATTCTCGTCAATTTTTTCGATGTGTAATATTTTATCGTTCGGTACGGGATTAATTTCGTGCAGAAACGTGCAACCTTTATATTTAAACATTCTTAAAAAAAGTTTAAAAAAAAAGTTAGGGTGTTACAGTTTTGTAACAGGGCGGAAGGGGGAAGGAAAAATGTTCGCGTTACGTAATGATGACGTGTGTTAAGAGCTTATTTCCGATGGGAAAATTTATACTGAATACAGCCCTGTTCCTTTTCGTAAAAGGGATCAAGTCAGTGTAGCGGTTTCATGGATTACTTATATGTTGAATCTAAGTGGTGCTACCGGATAACTAGATTTCCGGCCTATACACCATTGACAATCATTAGATCGAATGCGATTCCATGGGGTGCACGATTATACACTTTTATCTAGTAACTAAGTGACAACAACCCCATAAAGCGAAGTCACGAGTCATCGAATGTTAAGACATGTTTCATTTCATTTTTTTCAATCTTTTGTAAGTACCTTATATATATATACGTATACCTGAAATTCTTAAAAACCGGGATAACCAACCTAGGAGAAAGTAGTTTTTTCTTTTAAAATTAGCAATGCACAAAAATTGTTAAACATCTCTCTTGAATCTATTCAGTTTATAAAATTAGAAATTATTATTTTAGCCACTTTTTGACACCCGCCCCCCATTATCTACCATGGCTTCATCCTTGCCCCCACCACCCCAAAAAACAGTGTGGTATTTTTAACTTTTGTGAAATGAAATTTTCATAGAAATCTTATTTTTTTTTATTCAAAACCACGATTAACCCCTAATTAGAAAAGAGACGAAAATGCAAGTTAGTTTTCTAAATTTTAAAAAACAAGAAAGCAATTTCAATCTGCACAGGATCATTACTTATCCCGTATTAAAATCTAATCTGCTGATAGGGTGCCGTTAGCTGTGAACGTTGCGTTGTCACAATTAATAAGAGGATGGCGGGGTCAATATTAAATTAGAAAACGATTATTAGATAAAGTATGAGAGCATTTGGATCTCATTTTATCTGTGTATATGTATAAGTGTTATATGCTCAAATTAAGGAAAAGTCTTTTTAAAAATATTTATTGAGCGAAGCTACAATACACACGCGGTGTAAGGCCTAGTCTACAGCTAGAGTGAAGCATCTTAGTGCAACAAACTTTATATATGGAAAAAATAAGCAAAGCTAAGCAAAATGACATATTATCATGTTTTGTTCCTATATTACTTATCTAACATCTCCCCCATTAAGTTGAAAAATTAAAATTTATTTCTAAAATTAATTTTTCAATAAGATTACAATTTAGAGTAACTATTTTTGAACGGCGTTATGAATTGTAGGCGACTTGAATTTTCGGGTGGTACTGGGTTTATGTTCGGCTGTTGACATCTCCATCGATGGTTGATTTGGATCATTGTCGACTTTCTTGCTCAGAGATTGCGATGCGGATTTAGAAATTTTCTGATTGCGAAGATGATTGCTCGTTGATCTCCATTTCAGTATTCTTGACCAGCAACAGCAGCGACATAAGAAGTATGTCAAAAGAAAAAGGAAAATTAGTGTTGTTGGTGTTGCATAAAACCAAGTTGAATATATAGATGTAAAACTCTTAGTGGATTCCTCCAATATTTCTTTTTGTAGGTCGGCAAGCTTTGTTTTAAGAATCGGAATATTTTCTTCCTTTAGGTAGTTGAGGTCAATGGGTTGACTTTCGAGTCTTTTTAGAATTTTGATGTCTTCATGACAGCAATTTCGGGGTATTTCCGGGATGTATACTCCAATGTCCTTTAATCTTATGTTTCGTCGGTCGTTGGTTGTAATACGAAGACCGTTGTTGAAATAGCAGGTACATTCTTCGTAAATGGTGAAAAGCGATGGTTCCTTTATCGTGACTTTCTTAATTGGGTAACTCTTGCATTTATAGGTGATGTCTAGATGTTTGGTAGATGCGATTAGCCAAGTAGTGGAATTTATTTGCTGAATGTTGTTTTCTATTGCTTTGAAGCTATAAACGGCACATTCTTGAGGGAATGTTTTGCGCATCAATAATTTTGGTAGACAACGATTAGTGTTTTTGGTATCCTGGGGTTCAGCATCTTGTAGTATGATTATATCTTCCGTGTGAATGGTGGGTGTTAATTCATTCATTTCAAGGTACCATTGGTGGTCATCAGAAATTGCCACATAGGAACTTTCGGGAATGATAGTATGGTAAAGGTCGTTCTCAAATTTAACGGGATAAGGATATGCTTTATATAATCTCAATTTAATATTCTTAACCAACGGTATTGTTAGTTTAATTAGTATTCCTTTTTTATAAATGAATAATTTAGGACTCATAATTTGGTAATATTTATAAATGTTAAAATCGTCAAAAGGAAAAGGCAGTGTGTTTTCATTTTGAGCGACATGACTCAATTGTTCTTCTAACTGGACGTGATTCAAAACGCTAGGGTGCAGAACGTTGATTCTGGCAAAGGACAATGTTTCAACTATTTCATCGACCTGTTTATTCATTTCTATTGCTAGATCGTTTAATAACGTGAGTAAATCCAAATATTGTAAAAAAATGCGATTTTCATCTAATCTAATATTATTGTTAAAAATCTGTTTCTTTATAGCCAATATATTTTCCCGGAGAGTCTCTTCGTTACTATTTATTTTTGCTAGTGAATTATTAAAATCTGATAGTATCATTTCTGTCAAGTGCGCTTGCTCACCCTGGATTTTCAAAATCTTTTTATTGGAACTTTGTAGTTCATTTATTAATTTGTCATACTTTACTGCATCGTCTGAGTCAAGGGTTCCGAAAAGGGTTTTCAATCCTGTTCCAAAAATATTGAACCAACCTCTACGGGTTCTTTTTGAGTTCGGTAGCAAAAACTTAATTTCCTTTAATTTCGTCTCTAATTTATTTATACTTATTTTCAATAATGTTGAGTGCATTGTGTTGAAATTGCTTCTGTTAATATTATCGCCTATCTCGTTTAGTTCTTTTTGATATATACCAAGAACAATGAAATTTTGGAATAGGGGGGTTAAATCTTTATAAATCAGAATATTGTATTTAGAATCAGAGGGGAGAAGGAGTCCTTTTTCTTCGAGATGGATTCCACTATCAGGTAACTTTTCTACGAGGAGTTGCTCGTGGGACCATCTAAAAATGATATAATCCTATAAGGTTTTATTTGCTCAGTGCTTACTATTGTAAAGTCTTTATTATTGTTCTTTTTATCTAATTTAACCGTATTATGGGAAATAATTTCAACTATAGTATATGGTCCAAGCCATTTACATTGACCTTGTTTATTTAGTAATTGGTTTTTTAGGAACACTTTGTCATTTATGGAATATTGAGGTATAGGGGTTTTAATTTTGCTATCGTACTTTTCTTTTACCTTTATTTTAGTATCAATTTGGTTTGAACGGGCGACCTCTCTTAAATTTTGTTGTTTTGTTTTTGATTCCATTAAATAATTAGAAACTGGGACTTCGTTTAATATATCTTCGTCTGGATTTAAGAAATTCCGGTGCTTGAAACCGTATAAAATTTCGAACGGTGTCAATTTGGTAGAATAATGTGTAGAAGTATTGTAAGCGAACGTGGCAGAATTTAAAAGTGCCTTGGGCCCTAATTTATTTTTTTCTTTCGTGGAATATACCGCAATTGTATCCTTAAGTGAACTAATTACCCTTTCTACCATACCATTTGTCTTTGGGTGATAACCTATTGAATTGGTATGTTGAAGATTTAGTTCTGAAGTGAGTTTCTGTAGTATTTTATTCACAAATTCTCCACCTTGATCAGTGTGGATGCGTTTAGGAACACCGAACGTGGCGATAAAATTTAGAAATTTGTTTTTAATTGTTTCAGCTTCCTTATTCTTTAACATGTAGGTTTTCAGATATTTTGTTAATTGGTCTTGTATGACGAGAATATGTCTTTTATTTTTAATAGAGAAATATATTTCAGCTATGTCCATGTCTACGCGTTCGAAAGGATAGGTAGGAGTTTCAGTAATTGTTAATGGGGATTCGAAGTTTCGTCTAACCGTTTTGTTCTTTTGGCATTCTAAACAAGAATTTACGTATTCTGTAACGTCTTCCTTAATTTTTGACCATGTAAAATATTGTTGAATTTTATTTATGGTTTCATTGATACCTTTGTGACCGTACGCTGGTGGGTCATGATGCATTTTAATTATTTCGTGTTTTCTTCTAGGGTCGCCTGAATATTTGTAAGTGTTTGAAATTTGAATTTCTACTTCGGGATCTAAATTAAACTTATTTCGTAAGTAATCAATCATTCGTTTTAATTCTTGACTGGTATCTTTACTGCAAATAAATCTAAATAGATCACCCTTTTGAATAAGTGTAAATATTATGAACAAATTATCGAAGAGTTCTCTTTGATTTGTCGAATTATCTACAACATAAGTTATATTTGGGAATGATAGTGACGGTTTCAATTCTAATTTGTCCTTAACAAGTGGGTCCTGAGTGTCACGTAGAATGTAATGACAATAATTTGGATTATCCATCATAATTATGACTTCGTAATTGTGCTGTTTATCTGAAAATTTACCTAAACTAGTATTTTCATGAAAATAATCCCTTTCGTCACTAACATAGGTATCGAAATCAATTCCATTAGGTATATTATCGATGCCCGCGGTCAGAGTATTAATTTTGATCCTAGAAAGTGCATCTGCATTGGAATTTTGTTTACCGGGTTTGTAAATTATTTCATAATCATATTCTTCCAGTTTAAGTCTCCACCGGACGAGACGTGAACCTGGGTCTTTAATAGAAAATAACCAAGATAGGGGTCTATGATCAGTTATGATTGTAAATTTCTTACCATAAAGGTACGGCCTAAAGTGTTTTACTGCCCAGACAATAGCAAGCAATTCTCTTTCTATTGTAGAGTAGCGAACTTCTGCCGAATTTAGGGTGCGACTCGCATAAGCGATCGGAAGGCTTTTATTACTTGGGCCTTGACTAAGTACAGCACCAATTGCGTATGAACTAGCATCTGTTGTAAGAATAAAGTTTTCTTCAAAATTTGGGTATTGTAAAATTGGGGCGGTAATCAAACTTTGTTTTAATTTATTAAATGAGTCAATTTGTTCTTGCTGAAATGTAAATGCGATATCTTTCTTTAACAAGCCTGTAAGAGGTTTGGCGATCTTTGCATAGTTTGGAATAAATTTCCTGTAGTATCCGGTTAATCCTAAAAACGATTTTATATCTTTTGGACATGAAGGAACGGGAAAGTTTTTGACAGCATCTATCTTTTTTGGATTAGGTTTGATACCATCTGTTGTGATTATGTGTCCTAAGAATTCTGTTTCCTTTCGGAGAAATTCTGATTTATCCGGCTGAATTTTGAGATTGTGTTCTCGAAGTCGTCTTAAAACATTACGCAATTTATTACAGTGGTCTTCTAAGGAATTCCCAAAAATAATAATATCATCCAGGTATAAGAGACATTGTGTAGGGGTAAGACCTGTTAAGACGTTATTCATCATTCGCTGAAAAGTGGCTGGTGCATTAGCTAGGCCAAATGGCATTCTTAAAAATTCATAATGAGAAGTGGGAGTGGAAAATGCAGTTTTGGGAATTGAATTTGGATGAACTTCTATCTGATGGAATCCGCTAGTTAAGTCAAGTGTAGAGAAATATTGGGCGTGTCCTAGGTTATCTAAAATTTCCTCTATATTTGGTAATGGATGTTTGTCTGGGATAGTGATTTTATTTAAATTTCTATAGTCTACGACCATTCTCCATTTGGTTTTGCCTGAACTGTCAACCTTTTTAGGTACGACCCAAATTGGAGAAGAGTATGGGGAACTACTTGGTCTAATAATTTTCTGTTCTAACATTTTTGATACCTGTTTATTTACCTCTTCTTTGTGTACATTTGGGAAACGGTACGTCTTAGTGTGTATCGGGTTTTCATGGGTAGTTTTAATTTCATGTTTTACTAAAGAAGTAAAGGTTAATTGGTCTCCTTCTAAATAGAAAATATCTGAAAAGTCATAACATAATTTAAGGATTTCGTTACGCTCCTCACTGTTCAAATGGTCTAGCCTTAGATTTTCTTTTAATTTATCAAATCTACCATTTCTTTTAATTATATTCGGTTGAAATGCGTGGGTAGGTGCGTCCTCTAAAATTACTTTATTGACTGAAAATTTTAACTCTTTATCCGTCAAATTTACTGCAGTGGTGAATATATCTTGATTTTTGTCTACTCTAACTAGGCATTCAGGAATTAAAAGTTTATCACTTATATTCATTTTTGGCAAAATACCTTCACTTCCCGGTTTTAAGTTAGTTTTTATCCTAATTATTTGTTCGGCACGCTTGTGAAGTACTATATGATTAAGCACTTTAGTTTCCTTTTTTAAATGAATCGGGATCTTGTCGTTGTTTTCTAAGAAAGAAATGTTATTGTGATGTAAATCTAAATTGCAATTCAACGTTTTAAGAAATTCAATGCCTAGTATTCCATCTAATTCTATATCTAAATGTGCGACATGAAACTTGACGTTTTTTTCCTTGAATTTTGTTGTGATGGAACCTAATGTTTTAAACGAATCAGCATTTAATCCTGAAACACTAATAGTATCTATAAAATCTATAAATTTTTTCAATTCTGGTTTATATTTGATCAAATTTATAGAGGCACCTGTATCAATCATTAATTTGACTGGAATACCTTTAATTTTTGAAATAATAAATGGAACAATTTCTGTCATTATTTTGGTAGTGTTAATCTTAAAATTACATAAGGTTGAGGGATTTTCATTTAGTTGAACGAACAACCCTCTTCTGCTTCGTTCACATCCAAGTTTAAATTGTCCAGTTCAACTTCATTATCTTCAGGATCAGATTCGGGATTTTCAGTTTGGATCTCGCATGTGTTAACTTTTGGGGGTTGCTTAGGAAAACCTTTGAAGGGGGTACCAAAAGAGCGGCGATTTGGATTATTATCGTTATTACTATTAAATGATCTATTAAACGTATTTGTTGATGAAGCACTCGGCCTAGGAGATAACTCATTACTACTACTGGTTTCTTTTTTGAAATATGTGTTTTTGTTGTTATTGTTTATTACTCTATTTTGAGAAAGTTTATTATTATTAGATTTAAATTGAGCGAATTTCTCCTGATCTTCACGTTCTTTTAACCTTTTATGCGCCGAATACGCATAGGAAAAAGCTACCTCTAAACTTTGCGCTTGAGCGTGAGCAATAGATATTTCAACATCTTTCGGTATATTATTTAAAAATGTTGTTTTGGCTATTTTATCTATAAACTCTGACAGAACATCAATTGGGTTTGCATCCTCAGAAGTGTTTTCAATAGCTACTGCGATAAGATCATCGCGAATTTTGGCAATTTTGTTATAAGTTTCTTTAATGGAAAGCTTATTTGTATTTCTAAATCGTGTGAGGTCTGCAATTAAACATTCAGCGGAACGTTCAAGTCCGAAATTAGTAATTAATGAATTTTTGACACTTAACCAGTTATCATAATGCCTTGCGAGAATCACTCGTCCTGCACGACCTGATAACCGATTTAAAATAATTCTAAATAAATATTCTTGGTCACTGGCTTTTGCTTTTTCGAAAACAAAATCTACTGTTTCAACAAATTGGTGTAATGGAATATTATCACCATCAAAATTTGGAATTAATTCAGACAATTCTTTCCTAGAATAACTGTCTCCTTGTTCGGTCATGATTGACACAAAATTATTCGATAATAAAAGCAATTAGGGAATAGGGAAAGGATTTTCGTACAAAAATATGAAAATGGCAAATATCTTCAAACCACCTACCTTGAGTAGTCCACTAGTGTGACGATGGTTAGGATGATTCGAAACATACAGCTGCTTGGTCTGGTCCTCGCAGGAGGGAAACGGGGTGAGACGTCCTTTTGACAGTCTTCTTTTTCGGAGGTCTTATTAGGCAAGGTCGAAGCAAACGGCTTCTAACTGCTAACTCGGCGAACGCACAAAACTTAAACGATGCACAGTTTTGGACAGTTCGTTTGGACAGTTTTTTGTTTCCGGTTTACCGAACCGACGAAAAGCAAACGGCTTCACGTAGTCACTTAGTAAATCGATTTTTAAACTTTATTAGAATCGGATTTGCCTTTACCTGACAAATCCTACTGACTGCGCCAATTGTTATATGCTCAAATTAAGGAAAAGTCTTTTTAAAAATATTTATTGAGCGAAGCTACAATACACACGCGGTGTAAGGCCTAGTCTACAGCTAGAGTGAAGCATCTTAGTGCAACAAACTTTATATATGGAAAAAATAAGCAAAGCTAAGCAAAATGACATATTATCATGTTTTGTTCCTATATTACTTATCTAACATAAGTACGTTAATACGACCAGCAGTAGTTTTCTTTGCGACGATTAGATTCGTTTTAAATCAAAGCCTCCTACCCTACCCAACTGTCACTACGAACTTTTTAAACTTCATAAAAGAAATAAATTTTGCCATTTATTTTCACGATGTTTTTTTTTCACTTCTCGCCTCCTGATTCAATTACGATGGTCATTAATCAATTGGTGTATTTTTATGGATTTCGCAAAGAAATTACTTACTTTAGAATGGAAGGGCGCCGAGATCTGTACCCGCGTTTATCATTTCTTTCTTTATGAAATTCGCAACATCTTATAAATGGCGCAAAATGATCGATAATCTTTTTTCGACACCTCTCTCCTTGCAACTGAAGTGTAAAAGCATGCATAAAAAATACAATAGAATTTCTAAATTTTCAAATTAATTACATTTAAGTGTTACTCTATATCTACTATGCCAACGTTTCGTCCTCGATCATGTGTAACATCATCAGGATCTTCTGATGTATAATAAGGACGGTAGATACAATAAAGGGCGACTTCTCATTCGTTTCTAATCATACTTATGTCACATTAAATTAAATATCAAATGAGTGAGTCAGTGATAACACAGGTGAGTGAAATTGAGCCCAAAAAAACCGAAAGAGTAACCATTTCCAAGGTACCTTTTGTCGTTGAAATCGATAGATTGAGCCTCATATGTAACTGCTCCAGTACATCAAGATTTCTAAATATTTTAACCCAGATGTTATTAATTTGGCTTGTTTGGATTTGGAAATAGGGTTTATTGAAATTTAAATATTTTAGAGTAATTCGGGAGCCAATTTGAATTCATTTTCGAATTATATATCGAAAATGATTTTTGCTTTCAACCCCCGCCGTAGTGGTGCGTTCTTTTTCGAATTCTCTTTCGTTTTGAGGACACTACTATAAATATTAGCTGTAAAAACAATCACAAAGTAATAATTTTCGGTTTATTCTTTGATAGTTTACTCAAAAAAGGTTTAGAATGTTGAAGGTTTAGGCTATCCTAACAGCAAAACCAAACAAGCCAAATTAGCATCACTCCCAATGTTAAGTTAGAAGTAAAATACATCAAAAATATAAATTTTTGGGACAATTTTATCTGACTTTTCTGTAAAATATGAATTTTAAAATCCTGACATATTGCAGCAATTCTGATAAGATCAGATTTGGAATCAGCGTTACAAACTAAATAGGCATATCGGGAAAGACATATTTGGTCTTAGTTTTCTATTCCAGATGGCCTGTGAATTAAATGAAAGTAAAGAATAGACCCGAAGATTACAGACTTGTCCAATGATTTGAACAATTAGGTTGATGTTACATTGGTATCTGACTAAAAGCCAGAACCAGTGAAAGAACTAGAAGTCGTATCATCACAAAAAAAAAACACTTGACGATTAAAGAAAAGATTTAAGCCAAAACTTCACTATCGTAGGGATTGAGAATTGAGTTTCGACCTTTCCGAAGTTCCGGGACTAATAGGTATAGAATACATTTTCAGTGAGACGTTACAGTTATAGTTACAATGCCATTGATCTCATAAATAAACAAACGCAGAAAAAGCAAAATGGTATTCACTAAACTGTGAAGATATTAACCGTTAGTCAGTGACAGAGTAAAGAAGCATTTATTGATCATCATCGTCATAAGATCGTCAGTCCTAAGACTGGTTGAATCCGCACTTCCACTTTTTCCTATCCTGAGCTAATCTTCGCATTTCCCTAAAACAAAAATATCCCACATCCTTAATTATTTGTGAGCAGTAATCTAATGTAAGTCTAATTTTATAAATTAAAGATTTTAGATCGACGTGATATAATTTGACATGAAGTATGTTTAGAAATCAATGAGTCATCATCGACCATGCAAACTTCACAAGTAACAACATCCATATAGTAGCATATAAAAGTGCATAATTACATTCTTATTTGCACTAACAACTTAACAAAAACAGGCCTTTAAAATTTTTTTATTTCTCATTCCGTTTTTATCGAGATACGATAATTCTGTTGCATCGTCTTCAGGTTTTTTTTTTGTGACGGTTAATGTGAAATAAAGCAATTTCTGGTTATAGGCCCGTTAAATTCTATTATTCAAACTTCAGATGGCTTTATGGCCCGTGGTTCGTGATACCTGCATAACCTTTGTAAAAGACGTCGAATACTTTTATATGGACGTATTTTGAGGAATTTATTGACGGAAATCTAAATTTTCATTTCTTCAGTTATGTGGTTTTTATTTTATATTGCACCGCGTTTTATACGTTTTCTGCTCTTACTGCTGTTCGATTGGACCCGTAATAAAATCAGACATCAAAGCTACAATGTACTTCGTTTTAGACGAGATTTAGTGTCTGCATTACATTATGTGATTTTTAAACCACGTAAACAGCTGTTCAACCCATAGTTTTCCTTCTTTATTTAATGTTTAACATTTTAGACTGTACCGATAACACTTATAAAAGTAGTAGCAACAAAAGTAACTACTTTGAAATGTAATACTTTCGGTTTTTTGGGTTTTTCATTATATTTTAGATATTAGGTATCATCATCATCATAAGATCGTTAGTCCTAAGACTGGTTGAACATGTACCTCCACTCTTTCCTATCTTCAGCTAAATTTCCCTAAAACTAGAACAGCCCACATCCTTAACTATTTGCGAACAGTAATCTAATCTAGGTATACCTCTACCCCTCCTGTCTCTGACTAGACCTTCATGCCTGAGAAAGTGTCCTACCAACCTATCTCGCCTATTTTTTATTGACTTCCATAAAGTCCTCTGTTCTCCTATTCTTTCCAATACCTCTTCATTTTTAACCTTTTGTACCCACATTATCCTCATCATCCGCCTATAACACCACATTTCGAACGCTTCTAACCTTTTCTTTTCCGCCGCGCCCAATGTCCATGTGTCGCACCCGTATATTAGGTATATTAGGTATATAAAGTTATATTTATTAGTTACTTTACAATTATCATTTGAGCCATATTTAGGTACTTCTGATGATAACTTAGATTAAAGAAAGAATGGACTCTTATTGATATCAGTAAATCACGTTTATCACGTAGTAGTTCTGCATAGACATAGAAAGTATTATTTTTTTTATTTACTTTATGTATTGTAAGATTAATGAGACTTTCATCACGACAAATTTCAAGATCGTATATCTACAAAATATTGATCATCAATCATCGAGCCAACAAAGTTATCCAAAGA